GTCTTGGTGGGTGATGGAAGATAAGTGGAGGTTGTTTATTTTGATCTTAGTGTAGCTTTTTACACTGTCTCCTGTAACGTTCTCAGACAAACTGAGGAAGTACAAGATGAGAGAAGTGGGCAGTAAGTGAATTGGGGGCCAATACTGCTCAGTATCTTCATTCATAACTTGGACAGCAGGACACAGTGTGCTCTCAACAGCTGATAGAGCCATTAGTTCTGCAGGCATTTAGAGGGGAGAAAAGGGTCAGTAGGAACCTCATGAAGTTCAGCAAAGGCAAGTGCAAAGTCCTGCACCGGGGAGCAGTAACACCATGCACCAGTACAAGCTGGTGGCTGACCAGCTGGAAACAGCTTTACAGAAAAGGCCCTGAGGGTCCTGGTGGGGAACAGGTTCAAGCTGGACATGAGCCAGCAGTGCAGCATTGTGGCCAAAAAGCCTAACGGCATCCTAGGCTGCATTAGGAAGAGCCTCAGAAGGAGGCCTGGTGGAATGACCATTCATCTCTACTCAGCCTCAGTGACAACATCTGAAGTGTTGTCCCTTGTGCTGGGCTCCTGTGCTGTATCCTACAAGACAGACCTTGACATCCTGCAGGGTCCAACAGAGGGGCACCAGTCTGGTCTGGTGTGTAAGCAGAGACTGACAGAGCTGGGATTGTTTAGCCTGCAGAAGAGAAAGCTTAGGGTAGATCTTAGCAGTGTGTGTAAATATCTGATGTGAGGGAGCAAAGAAGAGAGAGCCAAGGTCAGTGAAAGGACAAGAGGCAATGGGCATGAATTGAAATACAAGAAATTCTATTTGAAGCAAAAGGTTTTTTACTGTAAGACTGATGGAACAGAGGAACACTCTCCCCAGAGAAGTTGTGTAGCCTCTGTACTTGGAGGTAGTCAAAACCAGACTGGACATGTGGTCAGTTAACATTCTGCTCTAATTGACTTAACTTTGAATGAGAATGTCAGACTAGATGATCTCCAGAGGTCCTTTTCCTATCCTCAACCGTTCTATGAAAGCATGCCTGACCAAATGGTTATGCTCTTCCATGAAGCAAGTGATGCTGCAGACAAGGGGGAGTCAGTGGATTTTGCATATCTTGACTTTAGCAGGGCCTTTAACCCAATTTCCTGTTATGTCCTGGAAGCCAAATGGAGGTATGTACTGAATAACTGGAAAGGAAGATGAGTGGGAAAGTGGCTGGACTCTCAGTGGAGTTATAGTCATGAGTGCAATGTCTGCTTGAGAGGTATTAATAAGGGGAGGACCCCTTGGAGATTAGTGCTGGGACCAATGCTATTCAATGTATTCATTAGTTACTCAGATGATGGGACGGAGTGCACTTTGAGCAAGTTTGTGCTTAAAGTTTGTATGATCCAAAATTGGTGAGAATGGTCAATATGTTGAAAGGTAGGGTTCCTATTCAGAGAGACCTTGGCAAGCCCAAGATATGGGATGACAGGAATTTAATGAATTGGAAAATCCTGCTTCTGGGATGGAATAACCCCAGACTGCAACAGTGCAGGCTAGGAGGAGCAAGTGCTTGGAAATTAGCTCTGCAGAGAAGGACCTGTGGATCCTGGTGAACAAGAGGAGACAAGTGCACTCTTGCAGCCAAGAAGGCCAACCATTTCCTGGACTATGAGTGAGAGTGTGGCAAGTAGGTAGACCATACTCCTGTAGCTGACAGTGTTCCAGATGTGTCTCACAGGTGCCCAGTTCTGGCTTCATCTGTACAAGAATCACAGAATATACCAAGTTGGAAGGGACCCACAAGAATCATCAAGTCCAACCCCCAGCCCTGCACAGGACCATCCCCAAGAGTCACACCATGTACCTGAGAGTATTGTCCAAACACTTCCTGAACTCTGTCAGGCTTGGTGCTGTGACCGTTTCCCTGGGGAGCCTGTTCCAGTGCCCAACCACCCTCTGGGTGAAGAAATTTCTTCTAATATCCAACCTAAACCTCCCCTGACATAACTTTAGGCCATTCCCTTGGGTTCTGTCACTGGTCACCTCAGAGAAGAGATCAGTGCCTGCCCCTCCTCTTCCCCTCACAAGGAAGTTGTCACTGCAATGAGGTCTCCCCTCAGTCTCCTCTTCTCCAGGCTGAACAGACCAAGTGCCCTCAGCTGCTCCTCATATGACTTCCCTTCAAGGCCCTTCACTATCTTCATTGCCCTCCTTTGGATACTCTCTAACAGCTCAATACCTTTCTTATATTTTGGTGCCTCAAACTGCACCAAGGTGAGGCTGCACCAATGCAGAGCAGAGCAGGATAATCACCTCCCTTAAAGATATGAACACACTGGAGTGGACCTACCGAGTCAGTCAGAGGAGGTGGAGTGTGTGACATAGAAGGAAAAGCTAAGAGAACTGGGTCTGCCCAGCTTCAACAAGAGAAGACAGAGAGGAGACCCCTTGTTGCTGTCTACAAGTAGCTGATCTGAAGCTGTAGAGAAGCTGGAGCCAGGTTCTGCTTGTCTGCAGAGTGCAAGAGGTAGTTGACACAAGATAGAACATGGGAAATTCTGCCTAGATTGTAAAGATTTGATTTGGCCACCATGAGGGTGGCCAAAAACTGGCACAAGTTTCAGAGAGGCTCTAGAAACTGCATCCTTAGAAGTGTTCAAGACTCAACTGGACATGGTCCAGAGGAAGCTGATCTGATTAGACCTACTTAGACCAGTTACATTTGGACTAGTTTGTATCTAGAGTTTGTTTCAAAAATAATTTTTTTGTAATTCTAAATTCACTAAGTTTATGATTTCCATTTTTATTTGTAAATGTAAACTAGAGACATAAAACTGTCTTTGAGTTAATTTCAATTGTACATTTGTTGTAACAGTTAGGCATCTGCCCTGAAAATATTTCATTTTTAAAGAGACTTCTTGAACTCTCCACAGCATTCTACTCTCTCTATTTCCCTCCTTAAATGTACCACATTTCTGTTACCTGTATTGCATTTACTCTGAGCACAAATTCTGTAAAGAATTTCCTTGAAGGAAGAGAGGCTTAACATGATGGTCGTTAACCTTCCAGATTTGGAGACTTGTATGTGGAAGAACAATATGTCTTGATTTGAAAGACACATTCTGCAGCAGTCTGCTCATTTACAACTTTAGAATATTTGAAAGAAGATACGGCAGCAGAAAATTTTCAGTAAGTTCCAGTTTTAAATTTCTTTTTTTTAACAGAAACTGTTTTCTACACTGTTTAGAATCTTGTAGTCTTATACGAATACTGCAGCTTTATTACTAACATTTTGTACAGAAATATATGTTAAAGGGTTTTAAGAATTATTCGGTTTTCATAAATTTAAATTTATATTGATAATGTCTTGCAGTCAGTGGATTATCCTAATGACTGTTTGCAGGTTTATCAGTTGAAAGTTGCCAGACCTGTCAAATTTAATTTTGGAAACAAATCTAACTCTTCATTCTTCAGTATCTAGACAAGTATATTTGGAATTATTTTGTGTTAAAGATTGTATTTCTCTAAGTTGAACTAGTATAGTGGTTTTCTTATTTTTTCTTTTATTTAGAGATACATTAAACCTTATTTTTAATCTGTTGAATTGATTCAAATTAACCTTTTTCTTTCCAGTCTTTTTTACTGGGTGCTTGGATGCTCTCAGCTTTGTTTGATCTTCTGCTTGTAGAAATTACTCAGTATATATTTGGCATCACCATCAACAGCTTGCCTTCTGGTTTGTAAGTAGCTTCTAATGGATTGTTTATTTTAGATGTATTTTCAAGGGATTGTTTTCTGGAGATTTTAAATAAAAAAACTTTCTTCGTGTAACATTTCAAATTATATTTCTTCTTCTTTTGAACTAAAGTGTAAGAGTTCCTGGCACAACTGTTATAATTTCAAACATTTATTTCTTAGTTATGATCTGTGGTTAGTTTATAATTTATCCATATAATGATTAGTTTCTATTTTGTTAGTTCCATTTCCCCAGGCAGCATGATTGAAACACAGCTTGCAGTGCACAAATTATTGCTGTGTTTGCTCAGTCTGAATTGTTTGGTTTATTTCAAGTCATAAATCTGAAAACTGAAATCAGGTCGGTGCTGATTTTTTTCTTAAATCAGAAAGGCAACAGAACTGTAAGTCGTGTCTTCTATGCTCAGTTTTAAATGTGTATAGATTTCATACTGGTATTTTGTGTGTGTTTCAAAAATTGAGTGCTAGAACATGTTACTTTATTTAGTGCTTGCAGCTGAAGTTCTTACAGCTCTGAGGTGTTTAGTGGTTCAGTTTCACATAACCTGCATTTGATATTTCTGCACTTAATAAAAGATGTGCATGTTTCAGTAGAACCACAGAGCTCGCAACACTTTGTGGTTAAGTTTCTGGCAAGTGAGATCAGCCTCATACAGACTTGAGTTTCCATTTTTGCACACTCTGAGGTAATAATAAAAACTCTTGGAGTGAGATTTTTAATATTAAACACCACATCAGACTTTTTTTATTTCTACTTTTCCAGAGTGTCTGTTGAAAGTAGCTAAAGGCTGATTTGATGAGGAAGCAAAAGCATGTGTTTGACATTTTAAAGATACATTTTTTGTAGTGCGTGAGTAGTCAAAAGGAGTTTAAAGCTTGAGTAGTTATTGCATTTATTCATCATGTTTGTTACTTTGTTGCTAGGACATAGGCTGCTAGTATGGCTGGACAAATTCCTATGTTCATATGTGTAAAAAGATACTTTGTGCAAAAGTAGCTTGTAATAAATGTGCACATCAAATGTGCACAAGGAGTTAATGAACAGTTTGACTCTTATACCCTTTGATGGTATTTTTGTGATTGCAGAATGTAGTCAGTTTCAAGAAGTCTGCATCAAAGAAATTTTTAATTAAATCAATATGCCTTCTCTTTAATGGTGATATTGATCTTGAGAGAATGAAGTTAATTTTAGAAGTGTGGGATATGCAGTACTTTCAGGAGCATTTAATTTTGCAAATATAAAAAATTAATATATATGTTGCATCATAATTCTTCAGTGTTATCTGCTTTATTGTACTAATCATCACATTTTCATGTCTGACAATGTTCACAGTCTTTTGAGATGACAGAAGCATTGGAAAGTTTAATGCTGACTAGGTTTTAGTTCATTTCAGGTGAAACAAAAGATGCTGAGCAAATACAGAGAGGTGCAGTTATTATTCTGCTGCTCTTATTTTTGCAGTGCAACAAATATATCTGTTACTTCTGGGCTAGAACATTCTTATGTGTAGTCAAAATGCAAGAATATAGGAAAAGAATCGCTCATTTACATTGGAAAAGTCTCCTGACATTTTTTCTCTTTTTATATCATTTCACTGTTCATATTACTGAGTGATCTTACACTTCCAGTTCGCAAACTTTTCCTGCGCACACTTCGAAGGTAATTGCGATAAAGGATTACACTGATGACTCTTGCCTGGAATTGTTTAGAAACAATATAGTACAGGATAACATCCAAGCATGTACTGAGATTCATGAGAAAGGTGGTAAAGGCTGCCCAAGGACTGTACGTTGTATTTTCATCTTGCAACATCAGGAAGGTGAAGCAAATGTGGAAGGGCACAAAACAGATGAGTACCTGAGCAATCAGAGTAACTATAATTCTTATGGATCTCTCCTTGGCCTTAGGCTTCAGTTTGGAAGTCTTGCCATGGATAAAATTGTAAATAATGATTAGGTAACACCCCATCATGATAAACAAGGGTATCAAAAAGAAAAAGATCAAGCGAGAAAAGTTCAATGTATTTACTTCCTTTAAGTGGATGATATCAAGCATTTTCATGCAGGTGGTAAAATTCGAGGCTTTGTCTGGATCAGATCGCAAAAACAGCAATGGGGATGTTGTTGCAAGGGTCATTACCCAGATTCCAATGCAAGCTAGCACAGCTTTTTTTATATTTTTTAGTTCTTTAACATGTTTGGGCTGGACAATAGCCATAAATCTGTCTACGCTTATAAAAGCGAGCAACCACAGAGCAATGGCTGGATAAAATACAGTGAAAGCACCAATAATCCGACAGAATGTATCTCCAAAAGGCCACATTTCTTTCCCATGGTAGATTATCCGAAAAGGCAAGGAAAATATAAAAATTATATCAAGTAATGCCACGTTCATCATGTATACAGTTATAGTTGTTCTCTTCTTGGTAGTGCAGCTGAAAACCCATAGTGCAGTGGCATTCACCAGCAGTCCCACTGTGAATACAAAACTGTAGAAGACCAGTGATGCAATCCTGTATTCTTCAGGGTGGTGATTTTCAGGCATCATAGTTTAATTGAACTTAGGAATAGTTGTTGCACTCCATAAATACCCTAGAAGTAGATAAAATGTGGGAAGTTATTCTCAGTCAAATAAAATCGATCCTTAAGAACAAATAGGAAGATTGTTTTAGAGTAGTGGTTAGTGATGAGACTGTATTTTTTAGCTGTGAAAATGTGTTAGCTTTGTTGCTTTTTCTGACTGCAAATACATTATTGTGGTCTGAGGGAAATACATGTACCATCAGACTTGTGAGAAAAAGTATTTTTGAGCATGTTTTAATCAAGTATTTTAATTACTTAAGAGATTTCTTATTTAAGGAATCAAAAAGTCAAGATGGACACTTTTGAGTGTGCTTCAGTAGATGATAATCAGATTGAAGCAGTTGTATTTGAGCTATGATAGCTATTTTCTAAAGAAAATATTTCTTCAAGTTGTCCCTGTTGAAACATTTTTGACTAAAACTAGTTATGAAAAGAAATAAGGAAGCATGGCACGTAGTGACATTTGGATATGCAAAATGAAGTATTGACTTTGCCTTTTATCTGTGTAGGGACTACTTAGCTCCCAAAGCTCCCAAAAGAACAGGTGCTTGCTGTTTTTCATAAAAGACACTAAAAAGCTGTCTTAGTAGCTACATAGCTTCTAATACAGTATTTAATCATAGGGCATCAGAACCACCCACCTAACATATGAAGAAGATGAATAGATTAATAGACTTCCCATTTTAAAAAGTGAAAAGATGGGAAGCACTGCAGTCTCGGACTAGGCCATATGTGAGCAGTATGTGTTGGGTGCAAAAGCTGATGGCTGATGGCCAGGTGCCCCAGACCACAGTTGTGTTGCTTCTCTCAGCTTCTTAGTCATAGGAGTTGGGTGTCTGAAAAGTCGTCGTGCGGGCTCCGGTGATGAGAGCTGAAGGAGATTATCCCCTGATTTGCTCTGGAGCCACTTGAGGATGGCAGACTTCACCTGGAATTTGCATGGGTGCTTTGGTTAATCTGCATCCCCTGCACTTTCCTGGCCCTTGCTGTGGTCACAGTTTCACGACATTGTGTGGGAGGGTTCATCTTGCTTGGCCTTTAAAGCAGCCCTGTAGCAGCTTTGTGGAGAGGAGGAGGAGGAGGAAAGAGTTAGTTGTTTGTCTGATCTTCCTACTTGTGACAGTCAAGGAAGTTCTACAGTATTCCTAGGAACCAGGACTGTTTTCTATAGCAGATTTGTGCATAGTTCCTGTGTGTTTTATCTCCAGAAGGGAAGAATGCATTAAAGAAAGGTTTATTGTTGCTGCTGGTTTATGCTTTCTCTGTGATGTTACCAAATACTTTTTTAGTGTTACAGAAATGCATAAGGGATTGAACCAGTGTTTATTTAATCTGGTTTAATCAAATCTGGTTTGACACTGGCAAATGTCAGCTGCTTTTGAGAAGAGTATCTATGAAGTAACTAACTTAAATATGACCTATTAAAACTTTATTTACTTTAGTTTCAGCCTTGAAATATGAAGTTCGAGCTTCTGATTTTCTTATAATTCTCCAGTTTACAGATAAATAAAAGCATTATGCATAGAAATATCTAACCCCAAACTTTAAAAGGTTTTTTTTAAGCTGTACAAAGCAAAAAAAGATGTGTTTTCTGTTGGATGAGGTCACTAGAACATATAAGAGAATTTATGTTTTGCATGGGAAAAGCTGTGCATGTAGTACAAAAAAAGAGGTTTGGAGGGCATCTATATGAGTGCCCCTAAGATTCTTCATTGTGTGAAGAACTCAAAAAATAAGAAAAATAAAAGAACTAAAGAATGATAGCTGACTTTATTGAAAGTTAGATGGGATATGCTTGAAAGAAAAATTTTGTAGCACAGTTGCAATATTATCTGCCACACTGTCCCACTTTCATTACTGTTGCATAAAATTGTCCAAATGTTGCTTAACACACACACACCCCCACCTCCCCACAATTGCAAGTGGTTTGCTTTTTTCTCTTTTGTTCTGATTTTTCTCTGTCTTGCAAGTGATTGTGTATCACATGGTGCATGGCTGCCTAGCTCAAGATCCTGACTGATTTAGCAGGTGAATTGAGTTGTGATATATAGGATAGATAGAAGAATTCACTCGAATATTAATAAACAGCATGGATTTTGTCTTTGATTTTGCTGTTCTCTCATTTGGACTTGCCGTGATTGTAATTGTTTCTGGTCAGGTCATATTTCTGAAATAACGAGCAGGCTGATGTTGATGGGAAGAGAGGAAGCTGAACCTGGTGTGAGCTTTTATCAGGAAAACCTGGGGTTCAATGGTTTTTTTGCTGGTTATTTCAAGTTTTTGACAGTTTTGAGATATATCAAAGAATGGATCTACTGTAACAAAAGGGGTTTGTTTGAGGGGGCTTTTTGTTTAGTTGTTGAAGACACTGTTTTCAAACTTTGTGGTTTTAAATGCATGTCAGGCATTTCTCCTAAATTTAATTTTTAACACTGTAAAAAATTTTTGTGTAGGTAAGAAATATTGAGATTTTTTTAGAGTATGTAGTTACTCATCTGCATTTATACATGAACAGAGATATTCTGCTTTTTCATCAGTCCTTGTCTGCACGGAGTTTGGGTTGATATCTCCCAGGTCAGCCCAAGTAGATCTTTGGGTGCCTATGAGTGGATGGCTTTGCTTTAGTTGTCATTTTTCGTAATGGGAACACTTACAGGTATTGATTAAAGTGCTTACTGAAGAGCCCCTGGAGTCACTGGTTTCTGGAAGTCTGTCTGTCTTAAGTGTGAATGATTGCTCTGATGTTTCTCTGAATCAGTCTTATTTTTTTAATGATAGCTGACTTTTTGAATGTCTAATGTGAATTGTGAAGGCCATGCTGTACGAAAATAAAGACTTTCAGAACAAAACCAGAACTAAGTCTTTTCCTCGGTATTCTTACAAGTTAGGTAACAGTGCATGTATGTCTTTCCAATACCCCTTTTTTTCTTTGTCTGTCCCTTGTATATGCTCACATTTCCCTGAGAAGAACATTGCTTTCAGTGAAGCACAGAAAGACCAAGCAACAAGATCTTCTTCTGGGTTTAGTTTAACAAAAAGAAAACATTTTTCCTTTAGTGATAAGTGTACTTACCAATGCTTTCATTTAGTGCATATTTTAAATTTTTTGTTAAAATCATAAGCAACAATATTTATGGTACTATGCTTTTACAAGTGCAGTCATTTTGCTTTAAATGTTATTTATAAAATGCTGCTGATATTTGGGAAATGCTTTGAAGAATTAAACATCTTTTCATTAGTTCCAGAATTAATGCCCATGTTCAGCTTCTGAACAAAGAAGTCTATCTTAGCAACATGCATAAACATCCAAGTTACTTTGTTACCATAGAGTATGGGATTGTTACTCACCCTTTGTGCACTACAAAGTTTCTTCAGAGATGCTCCTCTCATGGCCCCAAATCTGTAGAAGGTTTAGACTTCCTCTTCTTTGCTCAGCTTCACTTAGCTAAAATAGCTCGTCTTCACAGGCAGGAAACACTGACGTAATCTCGCTGGTTCTGAGCTCTTGTATTGGTCATACTTAAAAGTTACTATTTCACGTAAGTGTGGGGTATGGGAGCTGATATTTCTAGTACCTTTCAACAGTCAAACTTTTGTCATATTTCCAGTGTGGTCAGACTGGGCTGTTGTACTGTGTATTTTTTTCCAAACACACTTCTAAATGTTTGTGGAATAATGAAAGCATGTTTTAGGTTAAGGTTTCTATGAGAAGTTATCTGCAAGAATACACGTCTTGATTATGCACAAGTTTCTAATAAACACAATGTAAATGTATTTTCAGTAGAGCATAGTTGTTTGGTTTCTTTTGTGGAAATCCCCATATTATTTATATTGCCTTGGATAATAGTCAATCTGAAAGTGACAGAAACTCACTTAATTTGAAATGAGAAGTTTGATTCACTTGAATACACGACTTTGTTTATGCCAATACTTAAGATATTTTACTAATGCAACAGCAGTGTTTCTATATTTTATTTGCTGTCTAAAATAGTAACATACCTATTCAAGAGGTTTGCAGAAAAATGCTGTATGAAGAGAGGTTTAAGCCTGTGTTAAAATGGAGTAAAATCTCTCAGCTGTGTCACTGTAACAGATATCCTTGGTGGGATGGTAGTATTCACAAAAGCTAATAGGTAACGAAGGCTAATTTCTTACATTTTCTCTTCGTCAACTTGGAAAACGATCTAACCGTTTAAAGAACGACTCAGAGAAGGAGATCATTCTGAATTCTCTGTAGAGTGCTTGCTAGACTCAGGTTTCTGACCGGCAGTGTTTTGGGATGTTGAAGCACAATACGGGGAGTTTGGTACCTCTTGGCATCTCTGTGCATGCACATACCCTGGCCCCCCCCCGCCCCAAAATGTAGCACAGGGCTATGTGTTGAGGAAGGAAACAGCAATGTTTCAGTCTTCACCGGACATGCCATCAGGAATGTGCCAAGGTGTGCCCTTGGTGCCAGAAGCAACCAAGTCCTGCAGTTCAGACAGAGCCAGAATCAGGTTTGTTTGTGGTAATGTCTTTCTCTGCTTACTGTAAAATAATGTAGGTCAGTATGTAGATCCCCATGTAGTGCTAAAGATAACTGCTGTGAAAAATCCCCTTTGCTGGAGATGTGTAATTTGTCTCAGTTGAACGGGTTTGTGGTACCATGTAGGTATTTGCATAGGTCAGTGTGATGGTTAAAATAATTGTAGGGAGGGACCTGGATAATTTTCAGTGTGTAGATTAATAATACCTTTAAATATTTGGGTTTTTACACTTTAGGTGAACTAATACCAAGCTTAATTTTTTGTGATCATTCCAAATACCAAACTTAATTTCTTGTGATTGTTCCAAAGGCCTCTTGAATGCAACGAGCTGCAAATCCTACTGAGACCATCATATAGAAAAATAAATCTATTTAAAGTGCTTAATATTTTAGGATTAAGGAGTATCTTAAAGGGACTAACCTGTGTTGAAAACTCTTCAGTGGCTTTATGATTAGTAAAACAATTCCAGAGCATGCTTCAGCAGGATGAAGCACTGTTTTCAACTGTTTAGTGAAAGCTAAGTAAAATTCTGTGCCATATGTATTTTTAAAAGGTTTAAACAAAAGCATGTGGGGCTCCTGGAAGAGAATAACTGGACTGCTGAACTCTCCTAGGAAAGAACACTTTATTTTGAGAAAAATGCAGGAGTCCAGAGGTCCCTTCCAACCTGAACTGCACTGTGAATGTACCAAAAAAAGCAAGTGGACAGCCAGTGTCCCCCTTACCTAAAAAGGGATTACAAAAGTGATTCTGGGTTTGAATGGAAAGCAGGCAGATGTTGAGGCTGGGATCAGAAAAGCTGTATGCTGTGAACTGCCTCTTGGCTTGCTGTCTTCTTGGGGGCAGGTCGGAAATGTGACCTTTTATAGCTGTGTCTCATTTTGTCTGAAGGGTGGCTGATGTCTTGACCCTGCAGGGGAGTTCATGCCTTGTGAGGGCAGCTGGAGTCAAGTCCCACAGTTTACACAGGTGGGCAACAGCAACCCAGTTGAATTTGCTGGCAGGTTAGCCATCCATCTGGTTGGCCACAGCATGGACATGTCAGTCTGTGTTCTGCTTTCAGTCAGGCTTTTCACTACCTTCCTGGTGGCAAGGAAGCAGCCAAACCACCCTGCTGCTGGTATGCTGGCAGGCCTTCCCCCAAGCGTGCAGGGGCAGCTTTGTCTGGCTGCAGTCTGCTGAAAAGAGGTGTTTGCACTACCACCAAGCATCTGCTCCTCCTTGTCTAGGGGCTCAGGCTGGCTGCAGCTGCAGGGTGATAAGCATTTGGAGGTGAACACCCAAGTCAACCTGTGGTTTGCAAAAGGGAGTGTACCGGTCTGCTGTGCTGCATTCCCCTGTCGCTTTGGTTTCTGTCGTAGGAAACACCTGGCTCTATTTTTGTTTTCTTCTGTGCTGTTTTATCAGCTAGAAATGAGTGCCTTGCATTGGTTTCCCTCTGATGGGCAAGTACTTCCTCCACTCCAGCTTTTACTGAAGTAAATGCCTAGTTCCCTCCAGGGTCTTTTTTGCTGTTCTGAAGTTCGAGGAGTAAACAAGGTAATTTTAGTTGCATTATGTTGTGTTAAATCCAATTTTAAGTAGTTAAAAGCTAAGCCAATATACTTCATGTCTGAGGATGAGGCAGAGTGCATATGTGGTCTACTACGATGCCTTCACTAACTGGCAGTAAGCCTTAGAAGAAATGAGCTTGATCACTTGCAACAATGTCAAAAGTTCAACCCTGAAAGGATCGTCTTCTTACTGCTGCTTTTGCAGGATTAATGTACTGCTGGGTCTTTAGTGATTTTGTCATGGTATAGAAAAGTATGTTTTGCCTGTCCACTTACCTAAGTGTACTGTAAGCTTTGTCCTGCTGATACAGAGAAGTTCTGCATGCAGAGGGACAGAAGGATCACCCTCTGCTTCAGTTTGGTAAGGAGCAGGCTTGAGGACATATCCTCCTTTCAGACTTTCCACCTTTTGAATCTGTTGAAAAGAAAGAACTGAAGCTTGTGCACGGTCCAGTGCTCCAGTGGTGCAGGAAAGCAACTCTCCCATGTCGGTTTGTTAACTTAGCAGTTTGTTGTTTTGGGTGAGTTCACACGCAGTTTTGGGTTACTGTTCTCAACCTTGATGAAAATTGCTTCATTTTTTTGTTCCCATATTGTGTTGTACCATAATGAAGGTTTAAGGATAAACTACTGTTTAAGAGTTGTCATGGCACTGAATGCATAAACTTGCTGCAGTTGTTTGCGGTCGTGCCACATGCACGTTACTCAGAGGCTGCGTCTGTGGCATAGCTGTCCCTCCTCTCCCACTCCTCAACCTGCGAGTGAGTATAAATGCTGTCTGCAGCAGAGCTGAAGGAATGGGAAATGGAGCAGCTTAAAAGAACTGCAGCCTACTTAGCTATACCTGATATGTCCTATTTACTGTCACATTTAGCTTTCCCTTCTCTGTTTTGCTAGAATTTGGTATGGTTTGAGGAAGGAGCTCCTGGGTTTTTTCCTTTTAAAAAAAAAGCAATAATGAAATTGACATTCCATATTTCTCCTGGGTTGGTTTGGGGTTTGTTTTTTTTTCCCTCCCTCCTTCTCTTGTACAGCCAGGGCACACACTGTGTCACTAAATATTCTAAAAATATACAGTGCACCTGGCCTGTAGTTGATCTGTTCATCAGTGTCAGCCTTTGAAAGAAGCAATACTTAAAAAATTAATTTAAATGAAAATTGCATCTCTAAGATGTCTGACAGCAGAGTAGTGGGCTAGAGACAGTGGTTTGTTACACAGCATCAATCTCAGAATATCTGTAGTCTAATGCTAGCTTATGACAAATACCAGCACAGCTCCATGCTTGCTGATGAACCCACACTGCCTTTGACATATTTCTTAAACTGTGTTCTGTTTTCCACCTGTGTTCTATTGCGTTGGGAAGCAGGGGTTTTTTGCATTCAAAAAGTACAGATTTCTCATGACAAATATTTCATAGATTTTTAAAACCTGCCTGAATACTCACCTTTTTTTCTTTTTTTTTTTTTTAATTAAATGTGCATTGTCAGGAACTATGCAGTGGGTTAGTTGTTCCAGTTTGGAGGTGTCTAGGATAGCTTTTTCAACACTCTTTCCTAACTAAGTATGTGTTATGTGATGTTTTTACTATTAAACTGCTTCTTAAAAGTGTCAGGTGCATAGGAGTATTGTTCTAAAACTTGATATGCCTCCCAGGAATAAAGTTATTGTTTCAAGAGAAATGTCTTTATTTGGAGCTTAAATGTCTTTATTTGCATATACTCAGATTCCTTTGATGAAGTAGGGAAAGTTGTTTTGACTCCTGCAAAGTTCAGGAGTTTGGACAACTTCTCTCAGTTACTATCCTGAGTATCCATAATCAGAAATGAAACAATTAAAAATTGCTACGTAGGCTTTAGCATACCAGTGAAGTGTTTAATCAAAAGTACCTGAAGTGAGAGTGAGTTGTGCAAGTATTTAGAGTAAGTGCTGTCCTTTGAATTCAAGGGTGCCTTGCTTGCGTGTTGCATTCCTGTGCATGGTGCCCAGCCCTGGCAGGTGGCTTGCGTTGTTCAAGTGAGAGTCTTCTAATGTTGTTCTGCCTGCCACCTGTCTCTGGCACAGATTAACAAGCAGTGTTGGGGTTCTGAAGCCTGGTGTGCTGGGATGCAGTTGAGCTGACATGAAGAGCGAGCACTCAAGATGGTAAAGGGACTGGCATAATCCAGACTGGGATAAAGCAACTCAATTCCTGCTGTGTAGCAGTGAATCTGGTTAGTTAGGATCTCTGCTGGGCCAGCCTGCTTGGTGTATAGGCTCAGCACTGTCCGTGGCAGAAAATGAAAGAGAAGCTGAGTGTGAGTATGCTCAGTGCACTGGAACAACAGGACAAGGCCAGCTG